TTCACAAGAACATCAGAAGAGTCCTGCTGGATCAGACCAGTGGTCCATCTAGTCCGGCATCCTGTCTCACACAGTGGCCAACCAGTTCCTCTGGAGGGCCAACAACCAAGCATGAAGGCCCAGGACTTCCTTTGACGTTGCCTCCTGGCTCTGGGATTCAGAGGCTTAGTGCCATTGATGGACTTATGCTCCATGAATCTATCTAATCCCCCTTTCAAGATGTTTATTCCTGTAGCCATCCACAACATCCTCTGGCAGCGAATTCCACATTTTAATCACTCTCTGTGTAAAGTAGTATTTCCTTTTGATTGTCCTGAATCTACTTCATTGAATGCCTCTGAATTCTAGTATTTTGGGAGAGGGAGAAAAAATCCTCTTTGTTAACGCTCTACACCCCAGGCATAATTTTATAAACCTCTATCATGTCCCCCCTCTTAGTCATCACTGGCCCTGTTCACACGAGGCGTTTTGGGCCGGGAGAGGGACGGATCAAGGCCACATCAAATGGGCGCGATCACACAGCAACATCTGGCAATCGTGCCATGGCCGTCCCCGATCCGTCCCAACCGCCCAAAACGTGCATCAAAAAAGAACCACCTACCTGGGTGGTTCAATTGAATGGGCCGCAGCAAATGCGGCCGTGGGATCGCCGGCGCATCCCCTGCCCCCTGCCGTACTGCGCATGCTCGAGCATGCGCAGTTCGGCAGCCTCCCCCTCCCACTCGTCTCTTCCTCCCCAGCATCTGATCGTGCCGGGGAGCAACGGCGCGCGGCTAACAGGATCCGTGGGATCCCGTTGCGGCGTTTCTTTTTAAAAGCCGCGCTTCGCTCCGTGTTTTCCCTGCCGTGTGGCAGGGGCCACTATTCATCGACTCTCCTAGAGACCTCTTTTCGTCGACTCACAGGGTGTCTGTTGTGGGGAGGGGGAGGGATTGTAAGCCACTCTGAGACTCCTTTGGGTAGTGAAGGACCATGGGGTAGAAGGCCAATCTCCTCCTCCTCCTCTTTTTCTTCTTCCTCTGCCTTTCCTCGCAGGGAAGGTGCTCCAACCCCCTCATCGTCTTGGTTGCCCTCCTCTGTACTTTTCCCAGCTCTGCAGCGTCCTTTTTGAGATACGGGGAGCAGAACTGTGCACAGTACTCCAAATGAGGCTGCACCATAGATTAAGCCTTAACTATCAGAAATGAAGCCAAAGCACCAATATTTGCTGCCCCCCCCCCCACCAAGAGGTCCTAGATCCTTATAAAGAGTGGCAGCTCCACAAGACCCCTCAGCAAGCCATCAAAGGGGTGGGGGGAGAATTACCCATTTGACTGCCCTGCTGGAATGCGTCAAATGCCTTCTCAGCATCTGTTACTAAATGGTAAATACCCTGCAAGCACAAAGGGCCTTCCCTGGAAATAGTTTTCTACGCATGTTTGTTATTGCTTGAAAGACGTGGCAGGAGGGTCAGTATAATTTTTAAAAGCCAGCTGCTTCAATATGTACAGCTCCCTGCTATTATGTTTTCAAAAGCCACAGCATTCTTTCTATTCGGGGCATTTCATTTCTAGTCCAGTCCTCTAAAGGGAAGGGGCAGTGCCTCAGTGGTAGAGCATCTGCTTGGCATGCAGAAGGTCCCAGGGTCAATCCCCGGCATCACCAGCTAAAAGGACCGGGCAGCAGGTAATGTGAGAGACCTCCGCCTGAGACCCTGGAAAGCCGCTGCCAGACAGTGTGGAGCTTGATGGAGCAATGGTGTGATTCAGTATACGGCAGCTTCATGAGTGTTCACCGATGTTACTTAACCCCCATTAATTTCAGCGAGATATGCTTCTCAGTGCCTAAGAGAACAGTCGGATCCTACACATGTTCACTTGAAAGTAAGCCTCAGTCAGTCCAGGCTTACTTGCATGTAAGTGTGACTCTAAGACTGAATTTAACTTTGGATTCCATTTGTGTCTGATCACCAAAATACGATCCAATTAACAAAAAACACGCACATGTGTGTTTACCATGTCACAACCCTGGTATTCCTTGAGGGTCTCCCTTCCAAATGCCAGTCAGAGGTGACTCCTTAAGTAACATCGATGAGCACATGAAGCTGCTGAGCTCCCAAAACCTGGCGCGATCAGGATAGCCGGGGGGCCTCCAGGTCAGGACCACACCTGTGCTACCCTTCCTCAAGACACACCCCTTAGGAGCTACCTGAGCCACAGGTGCGACAGAGCGGGCCTCCTTCGGTTGTGGGAAACTGGAAAGGCAGTTTAAAGCTTTTGCTTCTTTTTTTAAATGGAACTAGAAACGTTTCAGCATTTTGCCTCCTCTGAAAGTGTAACACGGCGGAGATATTTACAAGCAAAGGTGGGGATGACTGCACACCGCTATGATCTTTGAAAAAAGCTAGCATTATGAACCCGTAACCGACAGCTTGGTGAATCCTGTCAAGGGAAGACGACATCATCACGACTAACAGGCATTTCTGGAGCAGAACACCCTGGAGCCAAGGGTCAGCCCTGCCCGGTCAGGTTCAGTCACAACAAAATCCCACCGTCCTCAGTGGGGCTGACGCCACAGGAGGCATGCCCGGGTCCGTGTCCTTAAACCTGCCCGCCGAAGTGGACCTCTGAAGGGCACAATCCCGGTCGGAACCTGCCCTGCAGAAGAACTCTCCACGCTTTCCCGGGGGCTTCTGCGGGAGAGGCTCCCCCCCCCAACTGCACCTCAGCCCTTCTTCTCCCGGTTCAGAGAGGGCTGGCTTCCAACCCACAATGACTCCCTCTCCTTTCCCTTGATGTCTTCTTCGGAAACACACCAGAAGGGAGCAGCACAAGGGTCTGCACAAACCCCAAATCCCACCCTTGTTCTGTTCCAGTCCCACCAGTTGCCTTCCCTGCCAGTGGGCCTCAATTGCCCTGGGGGCTGTAGGGTTGGCAGGTGTCCGGTCCCCCACCACCACCAGCAGGGGATGGGGGGGTAGGCTTGCCTTCTGCAGGTTGGGAAACTCCTGTAGCTGGGGGGGGGGTGGAGCCCAGGGAGGACAGGGACCTGGGTGGGGTGCAGGGCCACAGCAGAGCCCACCCTCCAAAGCAGCCCTTTTCTCCAGAGGAGCCCATCTCTGCAGTCTGGAGATGAGCTGTAGTTCCGGGGGACCCCCAGGCAGGTCCCCCCTGGAGGCCGGGGTCCCGCCTTGTGCCCCCCCCCC